GTTGGTTATTAAAGAAACTGTCTTGGCCTAGTTGATAGGGTAGATCTCAGGTAGGTGGGGAAGACAGAGCAGAATACTGGGAAGAAGGGCAGAGTGGCAGATGCCATGAATCTCTGGTCTGAGACGGATGTAGGTTAGAATCTTGCCAGTAAGCCACAGTCACGTGGTGATTCACAGATTTAATAGAAATGGGTTAATCAAGATATGAGAGTTAGCCAATAAGAGGCTAGAACTAATGGGCCAGGCAGTAATTTAATTAATACAATTTCTGTGTGGTTATTTTGGGGGTTAAGCTAGCCGGGCAGTGGGATGTGACTTGCGCCCCTTACTACACCTTCTGACCTCCACATACATGGTAGCACATGAACACTCATATCTACATAAACAAACAAACAAACAAACAAACACATAAATAAATCAATCAATTCTCTGTCCTCTCTGGGCCATGGCTCACTCCTATACCAAATGGAATTAACATAAGCCTTTTTTGAGGATCAGGGGTTTGGGTAGGTCGGGGATTCTCTGCCAATGCCTGAAGGAGATCGACTGACAGGGAAATTCTGGTCTTAGGTCACAGCAGGGCCCTGAGGTTGATCAGGTCATAGGTTTTTCTTTCCCCTAAAGCAGTTTTTAAACCGCTTCAGTGACAGCCATTCCAGGCAAGGAACATTGAGGACACTAAAACCTGGGATGAAGTCACTGGGGATTGAGACATTCACACGGGAGGATCGCCTTACCCTGGGAAGATCTGGCGAGTGCCAGGTGCCAGGAACAGTGGTGAAAGCTGACACCGCACAGATTTTATCTGTCACCATGCTGCCTGGCAGGAGAGCTGGTGGGAGAAGCAAGAGCAGTTGACTTGATGCTGGGTGCAGAAGCAAGTCTGCAATCCTAGTAAGACCCGGACTCCAAAAAAAAGTACTAAAATTGTAAGAAACAAACCAAACCATGAAAGAACTGTAACAGGGGTGCTGGTGGTCGCCCAGGGGATGGACTGGAAGTCTGGGTAAGACAGAAGACCGATCTGCGTGGAAAGAGAAAAGGCTGCAGTGTTGGTACACTTTTAGTCCTAGCTCTTGGGAAGCAGAGGCAGGGAGTTCCAGGCCAGCCCGGTCTACAGAGTGAGTTCCTGGACAGTTAGAGCTACACAGAGAAACCCTGTCTTGAGAAAACAAACAGCAACAACAACAAAAAAAAAAAAAAAAAAAAAGAAAAAAAGAAAGAAAAGAAAAAGAAAGGAAGGAGGGAAGAGAAAACAACAGCTTTAGTGCAAACTGTTCCCAATGTCACCTACTTTCTCTCCCTGATGCCCCAGGCTGGCCTTATTGCTAGTTCCTCACAAGAGCCTGGGAAGAAATCTATCCCAAAACACTGGACCCCAGCCTCCCTCAGCCTGCTCAGCCCTGGAGCAACATCCCAACCTGAGCTGAAGCCCCGATCTGACAGAGGGAGGGTAGGCTGGGGCTCAGAGAAAAGGTCACAAGAAGAGGCACAACATCCCCCTGGGAATCAACAACTTCTGGGCGGAGTCCAACCACTGCAAATAGATCTGAGGGCTCCCCCCCACACACTCAGGAAGAGAGTTTGTTGAAAGTTGAGAGCTAGCTCAGTAATCAAATAGAGCAAGCCAGAAATGGTTGACAAGCTTGTGATCCAAGACTCAGGAGGCAGAGGCAGGAAGATCACTGGGAGTTGGAAGCTAACTTGGCCTACATAGTGAGAGAGACACTGTCTTCAAACAGGCACCAACTCAGACAACTTTGACCACATTCTATGTTGGAGTTCGGTTCTCACCAGGGCTGGAGGCCGCCAAGCACTAGGTTGGTAGGCCTCGGGACCCAGGCAGCTGGAGAGTGGGGAGAGTGGAGTATCTAAGGTGGCTTTTTTTTTTTCTTCTGTTTTTTTAAGACAGGGTTTCTCTCTGTAGCCCCGGCTGTCCTGTAACTTGCTCTGTAATCTAGTTTGGCCTCAAACTCAGAGCTCCACCTGCCTCTGCCTCCTGTGTGCTGGGATTAAAGTTGTGTGTACCACGAGCGGCTTTTTAAAAAAAATTATTGTATTTTATTTATGTCTGTGTATGTGTACATGTGCGAAGGTTCTCATGGAGGACAGGAGAGGCCATTTGATTCCTTAGAGCAGTGGTTCTCAACCTTCCTAATGCTGTGATCCTTTAACACAGTTCCTCATATGATGACCCTCAATCATAAAATTTTCATTGCTACTTCATAACTATAACTTTGCTACTGCTATGAATCATAATGTAAGTATCTGTGATTTCTGATGGTCTTTTGGGGTTGAGAACCACTGCCCTAGAGTTAACACTGAGGTGGCTAGGCAAGCTGGGAACTGAACTCTAGTCCTCTGAAAGAATAGCACACGCTCTTAACCTCTGAGTCATCTCTCCAGTTTGTGGCTCTTCCTCTCTACCGTCCTGCGGTCACAGTCACCTTCCTGACCACATGATTCTTCCCTCCCCTAAGCTGACAAGATCTGTCCAGAGGTTGGCATCAGCTTCCACTATTCTCTACTTTGATATCAGCTCTGTCTCCTCAGGTCAGAGGTCACACAGCTAGTCACAGTGCCATGCTAGAATGACACCTGGTGTGAGATCTACTAGGGAGGCAGAGGCAGGCAGATCTCTAGGAGGAGACCAGCCTGGTCTACAAAGCGAGTTCCAAGACAGCTAGGGCTGTTACACAGAGAAACTCTGTCTCAAAAACGAAAGGAAGGAAGGAAGGAAGGAAGGAAGGAAGGAAGAAAGAAAGAAAGAAAGAAAAGAAAGAAAGAAAGAAAGAAAGAAAGAAAGAAAGAAAGAGGGAAGGAGGGAGGGAGGGAGGGAAGGAAGGAAGGAAGGAAGGAAGGAAGGAAGGAAGGAAGAAAGAAAGAAAGAAAGAAAGGAAGAAAGAAAGAAAGAAAGACTGCCAGAGGTTTAAGTATGAGTGCAGACAAGAAAGTTGACTGTGACCTATGACCCACCTTACGCTCAGGAAGAGGAACAACTATGAAGAGCTTCAGGCCCAGAGGAAAGAGATGGACAGTCAATAATGATCCTAACGAAGGCAACAGTGAGGGCTGGGGAGAAAGCTTAGAGGATTAAGAGTAACAGGGGTTGCTGTGCAGGCGTGAAGACCAGAGCACACATTTCCTAGCTCATTACTTCTAGGCCTAAGAAGAGCCTCCACACCCACACCTCCCTTTCGAGACAAGGTTTTACTCCGTAGAACAGACTGGCCTGAGTTTGTGATCTTCCTGCCTTAGCCTCAAAAATGCTGAGATTAGGAGAACATACTTAACTGATGTCCAGTCCACCCTCATATTCCAGGGTAGTATGTGTCCCTCCTATGCTTATTTCTTTGAGGTCGGGTTTCATGGAGCATACGCTAACCTCCACTCAGTATGTAGCCAAGGATAACCTTGAATCCCTTATGCCTGCCTCCACTGTCCAAGTTCTGGAATTGCAGATGTGGCAGCCATTGCTCCTTATTTATTTATGCCTTGGATTATTTGAGACAAGGTTTCTGGGGGTGGTTTGAATAAGAACTGTTCCACACAGGGCTCAGGTATTTGAACATTTGGTCCCCAGTCTGTGTTGCTGTTTAGGGAGGTTTAGGAGGTGTGGTCTTGTTGGGGATGTACTGTCACGGGGCTAGGCTTTGAGAGCTTATAGACTTGGCCCTCCTTCCCGTTCTCTCTGTTATGTTTAAGGTCCAGATGTTATCTCTCAGCATCCGGACTCCTCCAGCCAGGCTCACCTGCTGCTTGTGGCCATGCCTCCCCACAATAACGGACGTCTTACCCCTCTGGAACTGGAAGCTAAAATAAACTTCGAAAGCTGCCTGTGGTCATGGTGTTTTGTCACAGAACGAACACATACCTAATACCGTCTCACTGTACAGCCTGGACCTCACAGAGATTCACTTGCCTCTTTCAGTACTGAATACATGGGTCACCACAACAGGCCCTAGTTCCCTGTTTTCATGCAGCAAGACCTTTCCTCACTCCCTCACTCAACCCTCCGAGTTCCCACACTCATCCAGGTCTCACATCACGGAGAGCAAGCAGCCCCCCCC